GAGGGCTGTGAGGGTTCCCCGGGGGGTTCCCCAGCTGTGGGCAGGAGGGTGGACGCCCCGTTGGTTTTGTGCTCTTATTTAAGTGCCGCCATGCTGCGAAAGTCTCTCATGAGAGTGGATCATGTGTGCTCTTACCGGGCAGGAGCCGGTTTAGTGATTCTGGAAGATGCTGCCTGAGCTGTTCAGAGTTTCCTTCGCACCCTCCCTGTGTTGTACAGTTCAAGGAGATGGCTTGTCGATTCAGGCAACAAAAGTTTCTTTAACTGTGGAAGAGTACTCTAAATATATTTCTGAAGCAGAAGTGTCAGTAGAATCACAGAATGTTGGGGTGGGGAGGGAGCTCTGGAGATCATCCAGTCCAACCTCCTGCCAGAGCAGCGTCACCCAGGACAGGTCACTCAGGAGTGTCCAGGCAAGGCTGGAAAGTCTTCAGGGAAGGAGACTCCACAAACTCTCTGGGCAGCCTGTGCCAGGGCTCCAGCACCCTCACAGTACAGAAATATTCCAGGTTGAACCTGCCGTTTTCCAGTTTGTGCCCATTGCCCCTTGTCCTGTCACTGGACACCCCTGAGAAGAGCCTGGATCCATCCTCCTGACACCCCCCTTGAGATACTTATGAGTGTTGATGAGCTCCCCCTGAGCCTTCTCCTCTCCAGGCTGACCAGCCCCAGCTCTCTCAGCCTTTCCTCATGTGACAGATGCTCCAGCCTGCTCAGCGGCTGTAAAATGACAAAAATGCCATCAAGAAAGTGCCCTGAGGAGCAAACTTTTAAAAAACTTTTGGACTCTAAAGCGTTTATAAAATGGGTAATATTATTCGAGGGGCTTTTTCCCCACCTGAACTCGTTAGCGATGTTGAATTCCTCCTGGAGAGGACTCTCTGGAGTTTCTGTTGCTGCTGTGTTCAGGTGTTTGCCCACAGATCCAAGGGCTCCTGTTCACGCTGCATCTGCTCTCGACACGTGCAGCACTGAGTTTCCTCCTGACTGGTTTGCAGTGGATTTTTGCGTGAGGCGCCCATAAGTCTGCCAGCTCCCTCCTGACCTGTTCTGAGCCTGTGGCAGAGCTGTCACCTGAGTCCTTTGCTGCTAACAAAGAGAAAACGCCCACATTTGCAGGAGAACCAGGCACCCGGGGGGGACAAGGCAGCTTTGGATCCATGCACTGACTCTGTAAACATGGAGAACTGGCCGGTCGCGGCTGGGAGAGAAATTCTTGACTCCTAGTTCACTAGCTCTTGCTCTCGGGCTGATTTCCCGAGGCGAGGAGTCTTCTGTTGCCTTTCTGTTGGTCTCATCCCTCCCCAAAAGCTGCAAGCGCTGGGTTCCACGTGCGGCGGGGCTCTCGCTCTCTGCCCCGCAGTGTTTGCTCTGTGACCTTGTGGATCGCAGACACCCAGAAGCAGCTGGAGTTTGATTTCTCAATGCCTGGAGGACATCGATCCTTCTGATACGAAGGAGGTAACAGCCCTCTGGTGACAACCTGTGCTGTCCCTTGCTGAGGTTGGGGACGAGCATGACAATGGGGGGCAGAGGAGGTTATAGCACGTAGATTGAGGGGTGGGGGAAACCCACAGCCTGGCTTTGTTAGCCCTGCCCCTCGCTGAACCTGTTGGTTTCCTGCATGCAGGCTGCACCCACATCAGATCTGAAATACTCTGAAAATTAGCGTCGTGACTTCCCTTCCAGGGTTCTCTTTGTCACGTTGAGGTTATGAATTGCACTCCAGAACATCTGCAGTTATCTTTGGGGCGACAGGGAGGAGAAAATGAAGAGGGAGGGAGGGAAGGGAGGTCAGGTTTTAGTGCAAACTCGATAAAGCTGAAATGTGTTTAGGCTGCTCAGCTTCACGTTCTTTGAGAGAAGATTCCTTTTACCTCAGCCAGCAGTTAATGTCCAGGCAGGGCAGGCCCAGGACTGTAAGAGTGGGGTAAGTGATTTGTCCCGAATTACTTGCTTTTCTGCAGGTGTGACCTGGGTACCTTAGATTCCTCGGTTAATTTCTAACTCGTCTGTTTTGATTTTTTTATCTGTTTTTTTTTTTAATTTCCCCTCCTTGCTAGTCGCCTCACTTGGCTGGAAAACTCCGGAGTTGGCTTCTCCTTGGATTATCCCACCATAAGCTTACACGCCGTCTCCCGGGACCTGAGCGCCTACCCGTGGGAGCACCTCTACGTCATGGTGAACGCCAAGTTCGAAGGTACGCCCGCGGCGACTCCTCCTGCCAAGGGATTAAATACTCTTCTTAAAAGTGATACACAAGTAGTAGCTTGTATTTTTCTTTCTGTTTTCGTGAAGGATTGTTATTTTAGAAGGGAGCTTTGCCGTCGTTTGGAGTCGCTTCTGTGCTGTTCTGCTCTCGGCACGGGGCTGCTCAGGACTGGAGCCGCTGAGAGTCGGTTCTTCGCTCTCTTCCACACGTTTTAAACAGCTGAGATCCTCTGCAGTCACCCTGTGATTCCAGCATCGACATCGTTTTTGCTTTGTTGAGTTTATGTTAATGTTGCTCCCCTCCCCAGGCTTTA